GATGCCTACAGAATCATGTACGTCTCCTACATCTTTGGAATGGTCAACTTGTCTTTGAATACTGCCTTGCACACCAAAGAAAGCATTTGAAAAAATGTGTAATGAAAACAGTAAAGTCTAAAAGAGGGAAATAGAAAAAAAGAAAATATGGAAATGTCTGTATATGAGAGCAATTAGCAGATGAATAGGAGGAGGTATTTATCACAGATAGGTTTCACATATTGTATTCAAGAATTGTCATACGTTGTACCAGTCATATGCTAAACACAGGGTTTTGGAGGAAACTTTCAAAGGTCAAATATTCCGTAAATATATTTCTTCATTGCTTTCTTTAAAACCTCTCTATATTGACTGTTCTGTGAAAAAGACAGCCTTCTGAAGTGAAGGATAGATGCATGTGGGTGCCTTAATTTCTACCTTCCTAGAAGAGGAAAAGCTGCAACAGCTAAAATATGCTTGTCACAAAACCTGAATCAAGAATTCCATTGATGCCCCATTATCTGATTCTGCCCATTACAGAGAGCACAGATGGGAAGTTCAGATGTGGATTTTAAAGCTCTTTCTGCACATTGCACTGCCTTCCCAGCATCATTAATGAAACTCCTCTTGAGATATGAACATTAAGCTGTGTTCCTTCTGGACTGTTCTTCACCAGGAGGAAAATTCTGCCCTCAAACTTTATTAATGATTCTGATGATGATACATGAGATGAAACAAAGCACAGCTCATTCTACAAAACCAGTATTTACATTTCTAGGCTGGGAGAAACATATAAAAATTGGTGAAGACAGCTACTTCTGACAGAAAATTAATGAAGTGCAGCTCAAAGTACTGATTGCATATCCATAAGAGCTTCATGTTCAAAGGAGTAACATTTGATTGAACTGAGTTTATATTTAGAACTAAGGGATCTGTTCCTTCCAAACACTATATTAGATTTGGACAAATTCCTTTTAAGTGCATTTCACATTTCCTTGCATTTTCTCTGCAATACTTTGTATATTTTTGTACATCACTTCTTGTGATGTACACAAAAACAAGTAATTCAAACTTTTACAAGGCTAAAAGTACATGTTTTAAGACTTGACTGAGTCAACTGGACCATCAATAGCTGAGAATTTTGCTTTCCTCTCTTTTCAAATGAACTGAAAACACTTGAATTGCTTGTGAACCTTTGTGTGCATATTTTAGTGTTTTCAGTAGGAATGACATTCCAGGCATGCCCACACTTTCCTGTCTTGCAGAAATCCTCCAGTAATGGGCAACTTGAGGCACCGTAAACCTTCTCATTAGGGAAAATACAAGTCATTACCTAAAAAAAATGTAATAATTTCTATTGTTTAAATCTGCAGTTTGATCAGAAGAATAAAGCAACAATAAAAATAAAGCAATCAAAACCCATTAATCAATTTAATCGTATTATTTTTATTCTTGCATCTTGCACTGCAGCTCGATGATACTACATATGGTAAAGACTGAAACATGGCCTGACAGATTGTTTCCGATCTCAGGTATGCAGCTAGTACAGATTCCCACCATAAAGGTCCTTGTACATAATTAAAAAGTTAGGTGACCAGATGCTCTAAACAAGGTGCAATGGGAGTGTCAGCTTTATTTTGATATGGCTGTCATACAAGCTTGTCTGAAGAACTGTTATGAATTTAAGTTGGTCTTGAGCACATGGATGGGGAGAGGAGGTGAAGGTTTGTGCTGGTCTGATAAAATGAACACCTTGAACAATTAACTGTTTCACAGGTGTGGGTGCAAACACGCTCATGTTATCCTGCAGGGTGCCTAGTCCTCTCAAATTGAGAAAATCCAGAACATTTAACAGTCCCATCAGGGGCTGACAAAGGAAATCCAAAACCACGTACGCTAGCTGAAAACCAATTGTGTGACGAATCTAATGGAAAAGAATTCCTTCAAGTAGCTTAGCTGTACAGCCGCTTTTATTTACTCTTTAATCTGAAACACTCTTACTTCCTCAGAGTAAAAAAAAAAAATAGTGACCATTAGTAAAGAATGGTTCCATTAGGCTTAATAGCTCCTAACATATGTTTTTTTGAAAGATTTGTCCAAACACTTTTGAATCCTTATAAAATTTTAGCAGCCGCAGTATCCTATGGTTAGAGTTCCACAAGTAATTGTGCTTAACTTCTCATTTCCAGCCTGCATTTTGCTTCTCCAGTCTTATTTGTTTATTCTTGTGCTGACATCATCCTTCAGACAGAGCATCTCCCCTTCCTTACTGATGTTTATATGAATCCTACTTCAATAAACTAAATTTTAAGGTAGAATTCTGAGATTATCTCCACAATGTTCAAATCAGTGCTGAATAGAAATAACTAAACTGAGTTTAATATGCTACTTGAGCACCAAAAGTAGCACAGCAGCCTCCCTTGTCTCAGGAGAATAAATTAACCTAAATGAAGAATCACACCAACAGAATATTTTTATGCAGTAGTATGTAGTACTTTAAAACCATATGAAGAAAATGCGATCATATAGAGCAAAATCTATCAAAGATTGCTACAGTCACAGAATTGATTCTTTCTTCAGATTCACAGGGAAACACATTCATATCATGTATTGACATCAATGCCGACGATGTAGCACCTCTATATTAAGGAATCCTGCTTTCAACGTGTGGTTCAACGTACCAATTTGGTACATGGAGTGGGAAAGAGCTGATGCATTACACAGCAGCCATGCATTATGCGTTTGGGCTCAACTTTTCACATAAGCAGTGTGCTAACTGCACATCTACATATGGATGGCAACAGCAAACACATATCTGCCATGTGCCCTAATATACCAGATGAATCATCATCTCATCATGTCACCTGAAGCACATTACAAAACTTGCACAGAGAGTAAAGAGCTTTCAAGTTACTTCAGTACTTTCTACTTTCTGTATAAGAGACTAGAGAGCTGCAGGAACTGTTCTTGAACAAGATTTTCCACAGGAAGAGGTAGGTAGGTTTTAGTAAACACTGTTAACACACTAAGACTCTTGTTTATAAGCTGCTGCCCTCTCTTTATTCATTCTGCCAGCCAGATCAGGTAGAGCTCAGTATTCTCACCAAACAAATATCAACTGTCTCCAGAGCAACAACGAGGTTAGGGTTTGAATTAGTTGGAACTAGAGAAAAATACTCTAGATTAGTGTCACATTTCTGAAATATAAAGGGAAATTTATATAAAAAGTCAGACATTTCAAATATTAACTTGTGGGTTTATGTGCTTGCCCACAGTGGAAACCGTGAAGATCTATCTGTGTGTTGTGGAACAAATGAAAGGAATGCAGAGGGAAGCAGAGCTGTGCTGTCAATTCTACGACCATTCTTATTTTATTCAAAGATATACAACTTGGAATCCATAATGAGTTTGTCCCCCCAGAAATCTGTCATAACAAGCAGCAATAAATCATTCAGGCATTCACTTATTCATTCATTTCATAATTCCCAGTGAGTGCTATTTATCCTGAGACTGATATGAATGTATGCAGCACTGAAAATACAATACAGTTATGAAACAAACAATTCACACAGGAGATGTCCTGCTACTATGATAACAGTAGTGTTAAAAGTGCTGAAAGAAAGACCACAATTCAGTATGAACCTAAAAAATAAACCCTTGTTATCAACAGGACTAAAAAAGTTGACAGAACTACAAAATATTATTTTTGTATTCCTCCACGGATTTTTCCATCTGGCAAGAAACTACAAAAAGCACGCATAGATACTGTGTCATATTCAGCTTCTGTTTCATCCTTATCTCTATCTCCACAGATAATAGTACATGTATGACTGTAATACATGTGTGTCTTCTAGGGCAGAAGGGCTCTAAGCTATTAGATCTAAACCAGGATGAACCTCTGCAATCAAGATGTATTTGAATCTTCGACATGGAGTAGAGCCTTCTAAAGTTCCCACTGATACCTCCTCTCTTTAAATAAAAACCACAAAGTATAACTTTTATGCATTTAGCAACTGTCTAGCTGTTCAGGAATGCAAGGTTTGAAGTGTCTTCTCTTTTATTAGAGTTCACCTTCATTTGTGAGTGGAAATCGATATCCTACTATCACAGTAGCCTATCTATTATGAAGACATTAAATAGTGTTGTTCTAGTATTTTTTAAGAGATGATGGAGAAAACTGCTGCTTTCTAAATGGGAAGACAAACCAACATATTTCCCATTCACTTGTGGAGTGCACAGATCCTGAGTCTTGGAACTTATCAAAAGAAAAGTCTTTAGTGAAGACCCTTTTAAAAATGTTTGTAAAACATTTGTGTTGTGTGATTTTGGATTACAAAACTCTGCAGGTGTGCATATAAGCAGATAACCCTCAAGCTTTTTCAAATCAATCAGCATAAAGATAACTTTTCCTTACAATATTATTGGACTTCAAGGTCAACTCACCTGATTTTTGTTTTTCATTCATTTCACCAATGTATTTGATTTTCCTGTTAAATAGGTTTAAAATATACTGACAACACTATGTACAACATTGGGACCCCTGGACAAACTAAGAAATAAAACAAAAATGAGATGTACAGTAGTTGCACCATTTGCTTTTATTATGGAATAGAGAGTCATTACCATGTTACTTGCTACAAACTCAGATGTTCAGAGGTTGCTGAGCATCTCCCCAGGCTGTGCACCTCCACAAGGAAACTGCAAATTCTGTTCTCATTTGCACATCATGTGATTGTGTATATTAACATACCACAGACTTGTATGAATTTCTGCTTCTCCTGAAAGTATTAATTAAAAAGGATGGTTCTGGAAAAAAAAAAGGAGTAAATCTACGAAAGACTTCAAGGCAAATGTCCATCTGTCAGGTGTGCTAGGGAGGAAAACAAAAATCCCCTGAATATTTAAGGAAACTTTCTTGTACCTGTTAGGGAATGGTTGAACAACCTGAGAGAAAAGAGAATTAAACTCCTGCCTCTCCATATTAGTCACATACAACACCAAGGCATCAAGGCAGTACTTACAGCTAGAGAATATCAGAGGACATGAATGTTCATCCATTGGGAAATTGTGTAGCTGCAGCTGGCACTCAGCATTGATGGTGAGCCTGTGGAGAAACCAAGCAGCGCCTGTTACTACACATGAGCACAATGAGCAGTGAGGGGAGGAGGAAGGGTAACCTCAGGTATCATACAAAAGCACTTTGACATCTGTAAGCCAGGCCTGAAATGAAAGGGTTATATTTGCAGATTGTTCATTGGCTATTTAGGCCCGATCCAAAAACAATAATAATTATCTAAAACCAGAAATAATTTCAGATGTCATTAAAAGCTTCTTGATCCCAAGAAATCTGTGCATATATTTTTCTCTAGACAATTTGCCACTGAAGGACATAGGCTGAAAACAACTATTCTCTATAAAAATAATAGGAAATATGACTGATGTGGCAGTATGTAATTCCACAAAATCAAAACCTAATAAGGAATCTTATATGGAATATTATCTGCATTTACTTATAGTGTGAATTTAAATTCAATTTCTTTCAATCATTTTGGGCTATCTCTCAGAAACTCAACAAATCTCTGTATGCCATTATCAGTTGTACAGTTGTAACAAACAGACCAGCAGCAATGTCTTCAGCCCCACTTGAATTTTTTTTTTATACGATATCCATAACACAAAGGACGCTATGAATGGAGCTGATTTTAAAATTACTATTAAAACCAAATAATCTTAAATCTGATAGCTTACAATGTAAATCTATTTACCCAGGTACACCGTGTAAAGTGCTATGCAGCAAGTATGAGACATGAGATTTCTTTGTTGGCTTCTTTTTTCCCTATTGTTTTTTAAACTAATTCAAAAGCTAATAAACTGAATGGCAAAAGTTTTGTGTCTCAGATTTAGGATGGCACAGAGAAAACCTCTGCCTTGGAGAAGGTCACCTGTGAGGACCTTCACAGAATTTTTTGCAGTGACAGTAGAGGAGGATTTTTAGTGTCACAGCGGGAGAGCATTCACACACAAAAGCAGCTGGGAAGAGGATGGAAAGCCATGGAGCATGAATGAATTTCCTACGCTTTCTCCTGAATGCCAAACACTCATCCACACCTGACAGTACCACTCCCATGCTATACCAATTCTCTTTGCTTAAGTCAGACAAATTATTTTTGCATTACGCAGTGTTCTCAATAAACTGATCATTCTAACAGCTCCTCCTGTGTGAAAAGGAGGCTTACCCAAGTGGGTGAGAAAGGCTGAAAACATCCTTCACAAACTAAAAACTCCCATTTAAACAATCCACTCTGTCAAGTATTGCCCCTTTTTCATCTGTTTAGGCAAATTTTGCTGTCCATTCAACAAACAGTTTCCTTAGCGAGAGGTATGTAAGTCTAATTGCTATTAGGTAGACATATAACTTGCCCTGAAATACTGAATTAGTGCTTAATAGGAAAAAAAAAAAACAACCAAAAACCCACAAAAAGCTGACAATACAACAAAGAGGTTATTGGACTTGAAATCCTAATCACAGAAATCTTTAGCTAAAGGCTACTGAAATAAGCTCTTCACAGTGGAGAAAGCTTAAGGGAAGGGCATTAAAAATATCCATAGCTTTTCCAGCTGTTTAATACTCTCCTTACTATTTGTCAAAGACTTTCTACTGGAGCCTATCTGCATTTGCAAGTATGATCAGAATATGCTGTTGCACCAAAAGGACTAAACACAATCATTGAAGAAAATGTAGCATGAAAGGGATATTTCTGGAATAGTTCGCTGTGTGGAATATGGCTTATGACAAAACTCCATTCTGAGCAATTCATCTCTTCCATAAGTAAACACATATTTTGATTTCCACAGGCTGTTTTATGCAGATATAAACAGTATTTCTAATACTATACAGTTGATAGTATCACAAAGATTAGAAAAGCTCTAAAAGCCTTTCCTCCAGCAATTCACACTTGTGATGAGAGATGACAGACTAACTTTCAGCATGACTTATTTGAAGAATCAAGTATTGGCATGGGCATGAATCTAAAAATACTTAATCCAGCCTTGCACCTAACTCTGATCTGAAAGGTTTCTGACAGTTTTTATGGGACTACATGCCCCTGATTTTATTACAAGCACTGGAAACCCCAGCTTCTACAATTTAGACAGACCTATTTCCAGTTCTCAAGGTTTCTTTTTTGAAAGATGGGGCTTTGTTTTTTAAACTCGGCAGTACTTACCCCTGAATATTTCAGTATTTTCAAGTACAGTCACGTAAACGTCAAGAAGAAAACAGAAGAACAGAACAAAGATACCGCTGGAAATTACTACTGCCACGCCAGAGGTGGCAGAAGCTTTTGGCCCTGCACCTCGCTGAGTGCTCACCTCAGGGTGTACAAGATCTTGCCGTCGTTCCATATGCGGAGGAGCTGGTTGGGGGTGGTGATCCAGTGAGCCTCCGCTGTCTTCGAGTTACGAAATATGGTGTCTGGAATCCAGATCAAGCCAACCATGTTGCTGTTCAGAGTTAGTATTTTCATGGTGCTATTGAAGCGAAGACGACTATCTGTCCACGTCTGGGCAAAAAATATATCAATTTGATATTCCTGCAATGAAAGCATAATACACAAATTGAAATCAGTTTAGAGTTATCACTATTACTTGGTGTTTGATAAGGTCTATTCAGGTGTAAAGTGGCAGGATACATTCAGGCCAATGGAGATATGTTTGCTTTTTTACTGTCTGAGCAAATTACTGCTTTACATTTTTTCCCCTTTACTCCTCTAGCTTTAGAAAACAGGCCAAACATCTCACCTGCCTTCGCCTGTGCCATAAGAATTTCTGCACTAGCACATGCTTTTCCATTGTCTCTGAAAAGTCACAGCTACAAGGCACAATTTGCAGAGACTTCTTTGTCATAGGGCAGACTGATAAAAGAGGTGTGAAAGATGAATGGGAGCAGCACGCATAAGTTGGAGAATGGTAAACTCCCCTGATTTTGGCAATGCCTTTTGGGAAAGGGAATTCTTTAAATTCAATAAATTAATTGTTCTGGTTTTTACCATTTTTCACCCACTCCTTTTCTGGTCACACTACAGAAGAATTGAAAAAGCAGTTTCATGCTTCTTTACAGATACTTTATGTACCCCAGACGCCAAGAGCTGAGTGGTCACTATAGCTTATTTCCTTTAATAGGCTAATACCACAATTTACATGAATCTCATGCTTTCTGTCACTCTGTGTTGACTGCTGTCTTTCTGTAGGTAAGCAGTCATAGTAGGTATAACTGTAAAAAATTAAAATACACATATACAAACAGGCAAAATTATACAGGTGAACATAGAAACGCGCTGATTTATGCATTTAATAACCTATGGAAGAAACCACGTAAAAACCAGTATTAGAATTGTGAATTCAAGCCACTGGAGGATGGGAAAGGTGAAGTTTGATCATGGTGCTGGCAACAAGGACCAAAACTGAGGTCGCGGGTTCGATTCCCGCTCGGTCCCCATGTGTTGCCTGGTCTGGTTGAGAGGTGGCGTCCCTGCCCAAAACAGGGAGGTTGGACTAGATGATCTCTAAGGTCTCCTCCAGCCTATGCCATTCTATGATTATGGCTATGATATATGCATTCACAGTTTCATTTGCTTGTGTTCCTCTTTCCAGACTACTCCACCTGCAAAAGCTCCAGAAACAGCCACCTGACCCTGTCATGAAAGATTCTCTTGGTATCACGAGGCTGGCTGCATCCATGACAGGGACTGTGTTTGCTGATGTGACACTAAGCACAGGTTAACACAGGGGCTAGGGATAATCCAGAGGAAAACACCTCCCATGGTATTGGTGCTCTACATAAAAAAGACTTAAAGCTGTGTGGAAAGTCTGGTTTGTCTCTGCTTTTGACCACTCTTTTGTTGCATTTATGTTCATCTATTCCTAGGTTTTAAAAGGGAAGGCGTAAAAAGAAATGCTATTATACAAACAGCATTGTATATTTTTCTAATTACAGATAGTTAGAAAAGCTTGTCGTCTGAACTGAGGACAGCACTTCTGCTGAGAGCCATCTCGTTCTCCTGCACTATTACATTTTCTGCAGGCCATCCTTCCAAAGCTGATGTTATAACACCAGGAAACCTAATTCACTGACACTGTAATCCTAGTCCAAAACACACTCTGGACCTCTTGTCTCTAGGTAGCAAATGATCGATAGGTGCGAAAGAGGTGCTAACATGTATCCAAATACCGTATGATAGATCACCTTAGGAATTAAAAGCTAGGCACCAAAGGCATTAAAGACCATTTTTCCTCATGGCCTAACTCACTACCATTTTTCATTGTATTATTAGCTTTATTTTCTCAGGGAAGGTGATGGGTTTGAATCTGTAGAGACTTTTTCTTCGGCTTGGTGAGCAACAGGTTGCACATCTCCATACACATAAAGAATGCAATGCAATGTACACAGCATGCCTTTATTATTCAAAAAGGACACCCTTAATTCACCAGATTTGAGATGGTAGAGTGCTGATCTTGTTTCCTTACAATCAGCTCTTTAGTCCTTGAAAGTCCAGTGGCACATTCGGCTTCTGTAGAGGGATGTGCCAGAGGTGTCTACGGGTTACTCAAAAAGCTGAGCAGAGTTGCTTTTTTTAGCCCACATGTGAGAATCACTATTTATAGAATCTGAGACCATATGTATACAGCTGGCTAATGACAGTGCTGTTCTTTTACAGAACATGTTTTTGCATGATGATCTTATTTGAGGTTGTTTTATACAAATGCTTTATTTTTATTTTGACTAAATCTAGGAGCAGCCATAATTCGCTTCTAGTATATTGTACATATTTAACGCTATTTAGGATTTTAGAACTTAGGATATTTAGGATTTCTACTCCAGCAAAGGAAAGAAAGACCTTGAGCTTCATAATACCGAGTCCTAAGAAGGTACTGAAGCTAGCTCTGAGCAAAACGGGCACTACAGGCAGCACAGATGTATCATTTTGGTTCCCAACCAGGTAAGTTACTCTGGCTGAGAAACAGATTACATGGACTAGACGCAGGTCCAACTCCGATTTTGCATCTCCCTTACTTATTACTGCAAGTAGGGTATGTCAGCAATGATCATTATTCAAAAGATCTCTGCAATGGGCCACTGTACTCACTTTAATAAAAACATTTCAACCCAAATTAAATAGCTCATAGACCTTAGGAGCTATTTAGTTCTTTCAAAAATGCATTCTTCTTTTTGTAAACTGAGGTCATAACAAGTAAAGCAATATTTTTAAAAGAAAAGTCAATCAAAGTGTTTCAAAATTAATTGTAATAACTTTTTCAATACTTTACCCTTATTTTTTTTGTTTAAAGTATTCACAGTGTTCAGTCAGAATACACAAGCTAGAAAACAAAATTTTCCCAGTTAAAAAAAAAGGACATTTCCACTTTATATCTGAATTGCCATATCATCCTTTTTATTGTCTCCATGAGTCCTTTTTGGAAGTGAATTTTATATTAGTACATCCTTTACATTAACCTTTGGAATGGCTTCAATCTTCAACCAAGCAGATAATGAGGTATGATATTCACATATTCACTCTACTAGGAAGGGACAGAGGTCACTTTCAAAACTGGAATTCAGCCCTTCACTTCTAATGGAGTTGAGCCTGTGCACACTTCAGGAAAATTACCTTTTGCTACACTTACAACAAATACTCAGTTTCCAGTGAAGTCAACAGCTTTCATTTACCGATTTGCACAAAGCTGGTACTGTGATCTCCAAAATACAGCATCCAACAAGTAACTGCCAGAAGAAAGGTTTCTATGTTGGTCTCACGTAGAGAAGAAGGAAGGAGTGTTCTTCATTTGCTAGTTAACACCTGTCATTTTAGATTTTTATGAAATGCAATCATTGCCCTTAGAGAGTTCAAGCAGGACATCAGGTTTCAGCAAAATGATATGTCAGACGAAGAACATTCTACAACTGTAGTAATATTTTTATGTTCTGTTCTACCACTACACCAGAAGTGTTGCTAATATCTTTCTTATTTTTTTCTTTTGTTTTGCTGGTTTTGGCTCCTTTTTGGAAGTAACTATTGACTGCTGTCATGAACATGAAGAAATGAAAACCAACAAAATTTTCAGTAAGATTTCTTCCCAAGTGGCAGAAAGGTGAAACTATCTTCTCCACAAAATGATACCAAGGTCATACACAGTAAAGTGTTCTGTCACTAAATTTTCTTGCTGTACAGGCACCTAACTTGCCATGCACACAAGATTTTTCTTACTTATACCACATAGTCACACTGTGCCTGGATGAGTTTACTGAAGCTACACTCCAGAGCAGCCACGCTTCTGAAAACACATTCTGCCTGAGAAGAAGTAAGGGCCAACCCTAAGAGGAAAATGAAGGGGAGTTCTAGGGAAATCTTTTTTCCTTTAGCACATCATGTATTTCTCTGATGCAAAATTCAGTTATAAACATGAAGGGATTGATAGATTAACAATTTACTATAAATTTTAATAGATTTCATTATATTTGGCCTTAAAAATAAATTCATAAAGTATGTTACATGTTAAATTCCTCACACTTAAAAGCTCTGCTGAAATAGAATCTGTTCAAAGCTGATTACACAAGGAAAATGTTTTTTTAAATAAACAATTTTAACCAATTGAAAGAGCATGAATGTGAAACTAGAATAAGAGAATGTTCCCCAGTTGAAGACTCCTGACATATACATATGTTCAAAGTACATAGCATCAGGTCTTTTAAGAAAGTTTAAATTATCAATGGTTGTCACTGTTTCCGGAAAGACTAATGTTTTCCAGTAAAATTAAATAATTTTATTTATGTTTTGTTTGATCATATGAGTATATAAAGCCTTGTTTCTAGCAGCTGATGTGTATATCTCAGTGAAATGTCTGGGATTTTTTTTCTGCTATGATGACTAGCTTACAACTAAAGAATTTGTCATTAGTTCTTTTTTTGCAACTTACCCTCAGATTAATGCATTATCTCATCCATTTCATCACACAAAAAGCCAGTTTGTTCTACTGCAGGACTTCTACTTGCAAGTAACACTCACTACAAACTGAAAATAATAAGTAACATTCCATCATTGAAAATGTGTCTATCACACTAGTTGGTAAGACCTCACCTGCAGTATTGTATTCAGCTCTGGGGCCCTCAACACAAGAAGGTCACGGACCTGCTTGAGTGGGTCCACAGGAGGGCCATGAAGCTGATGAGGGAGTTGGAAACCTCTCCTACAAGGACAGGCTGAGAGAGTTGGGGTTGTTCAGTCTGGAGAAGAAAAGGCTCCAGGGAGATCTTAGAGTGCCTTTCCAGTACCCGAAGGCGGCCTACAGGAAAGCTGTGGAGGGACTCTTTATCAAGAAGTGTAATGATAGGACAAGGGGCAATGGTTTAAAACTGAAAGAGGGTAGAATTATGTTAGATATTAGGAAGAAGTTTTTTATGAAGAGAGTGGTGAGGCACTGGAACAGGTTTCCCAGGGAAGTTATGGAAGCCCCTTCCCTGGAAGTGTTCAAGGCCAGGTTGGATGGGGCTTGGAGAAACCTGGTCTAGAGGGACTTGACGCTGCCCATGGCAGCA